CAGCAGGCAGAACCCCTCGCAAAGTCCTCCAGAGTAAGAAGAAGGAAAAAAAAAAAAAAAAAAAACCAGATGACATTTGCTTCCTCCCACACACAACAACGAGCATCACAAAGGTCAACGCGGACCTTGCTGGCAACATACCCCTCCTCAGCTGCGCCGTGCCATTCTCCTCTCCCGCTCCGCATGGATTAAGAAAAAAAAAAAAAAAAAAACTCCAGATGACATTTGCTTTCTGCAGGCAGAACTGAAAGCGGGCAGCAGCCAACATTTCCCCAAAGCCTCTCACCACCTCTGCTCTTGCCATGAGAAACAGAAAGGAAATTGGATCCTACAAGAAAACCCTTTTCCAAAACGCAGAGACCTCAGAACAGGCCGTTCGCTCGCGGGCACTGGCTTCTCCGGCGAGGCAGGACTCGGGTCTGGCCGTCACATCAGCTCAGAAAGGTGATACTCAAGCAGTATCTTTGAAAATAAATACCCGTGTTTCACGGAAGGGAGATGAACCCTTCGTGCCCATCGAGCCCCCGCAGCCTGTAGGCGCCGGGAGGAGCAGCTGAGGCCGGGTCCTGCGACATCCATCTGTTCTTCTTGAGGAACCGTGGTGGGAAGAGTGGCGGAGCAGGACGGTGAGGCTGCCCAGGGGCGGCACCATCATCGCGGGACCACGTTCATCTCCTCCGGGACCAACCGGATTGAAACAGGATGGTCTTCATGCTTTAAAATCCACATGCTGTCCTTACTTAATAGTTCTCTCCATTGTTTTGGTGGGTGCAAAGAGTGATTTCTTTGCCACCAAGGATCCAAAGGCACCAAAATCCTGCTCAAAATTATCGATAGCTTCTTAGATAGAGGCCGGCCCGCGTGCTGGTTCTTGCTGTAAGGCTTTTTTACTGCAAAATCCCAGAAATAACTCTCTTCTCTGAGAATCGCACTGATTGCATTGCGCAGTGTAATTAGCGTAGCAGAGGGTGCAGTTGGTGGAGCGATGACAGAGCTGACTTTATGAGTAGTGAGAGCTGCATTCCTTTAAAATGATTTCATCTCAAAAAGTGCGTTGGGAATTTCTAGTCCCGGAGCACTGGGCGGTGGGATATTCCTTCCGTCACACAGCGAGGAGGACCTGGGGTCAGTAGTGGAGGTGGTGGCCAGCCTAGGAGATGGCCTCATGCACTCAGACCCCGCTGCCCACAGAGGTGGTGGCAGCTACGTCAGGAGAGCTCCAGGTGTTGTTGGCAACTCTCAGGGGGCACAAGCCCAGCCACGTTTTGGTTGCCATCTCATCACCTTCTCCAAGGCCCACCTTGACCATGGGCCAAGCTTCTCCTTGAGAAAGGTGTTGCTGTGCCCTTTATTTGCTCTCTCCTACCCCAGTGTGGGGCCTTTGTGGCCCATTAGATGCTGCTGCCTGCTGGATTTCTAACCAGTGAGAAGATGGGCTGATGGCTGGAGGTGTCTCTAAGCTGTCCTAGGACTCATCCTGCCCTTGCAGAGGGTTCAGTGGAAAGGAACCTCCGCTGGAGCTGGGTCTGCTTCCCAAGGCAACACTCCTTGCCTACAGAAAATCCTTGCACGGAGCAGGTAACGTGCATTTGCTGCTTTTTGAGGTCACCAGGGTGGAGGAGGCTACTTGGATGGTGAGAGGCTGTGGTAAGATGAAAGGCACACCTAGGAGTTCCTCTGCCTTCCAGGGGAGAAACCCATGCATTCATATTCCATTTGCCCTGCAGAGATTTAGCATCTTGGAGGCTCGTTATAGTATCTTAGCTGTGTAGAGCCAGAGGACACCGCATACAGGTATTATAACCAGTGGGCTCTGGCTTCCTAAATACTGGTTCCTCTTGCAATACTAACAGTGAGGGACATGTTCTCGTTCCTGCTGCCCAGAGGAGAGCACTCTCCACCTCTTCAAATGCATCTAACGTGCTCTCTCCATTAGAGGGCAGAAGCAGGCTTGTGCACTGAGAAAATAAAGCAAAATTACCTGCCCTATGTGCTATACAGCTGGTTGTGTTAAGGGAAGGTAGGACATCATCACGAATGGCCAGACAACTACCCCTGCTAGAAGGAGAAAGAAGCAACCAGAACTGGTGCTGTAAGGGTTAACTCCTGCGATTTTGGGCTGACCTTGGTGGTCTTTGCAGCACCTCCTTCTGTTTGAAGTTGGAAATAGATTTAATATATGGTAAGTACCAATGTCTAACAGCTTTGTTAAAGACTAGGTAATACAGGTAATTGCTCATTTTTCAAAAGACTGACAATTTCGATGACAGCAAGATGCAAAAAGGGTTGTTTTTAAATAGTGACAATTATTAGGAGAACATTTGGAGGATTTCTGTTAATAGTCTGCCTGTGAACGTTCCCTGTTTTACCGCTGTGATGCGTTGCTGTATCCCATTTCTATCCGCATGTAATCCTCTAACCTAATAAAGGTATTGCCCGTAATTGTAAAGGGAAATCATTGGTTTCTGTTGAATCCAGTGACACGGCTTCTGTAAGGGGTAAAGAAGCCAAGAGTTTGGCCTTAAGCAGAGAGGGACCTCAGAGGAGCCCAAGCCAACAATTTAACCTTCTTCAGTGTCCTCTAGGTGCCATTGCAGTGGTGATATTTATGACGTGGCACTTTCCCCCTAGAAATTGGACCAAATCCACAGATCTATCCTTTCAATTTTGAGTTGTCACCATCAGAGAATGCCAGAGAGTGCTGGCTGCCAGCTGTGCTCACATGGAAGGGCACATGGGAGCTGCCAGCCAGAGCCACTGGTCTCTTGGCCAGTGCTGGCCCTGGTGGAAGACCCAGGTAGCCCGAGCTGAGCCTGGTGTGGGCGAGGAAGGCTTCAGGGGGTTGGTGGCACAGGCACGTGGGCTGGAGGGAAGCTGGTGTGCCAAGAGTGGCATTTTAGTCTAAAGCTGCTAAATTCAAGCTGAAAGGAAGAAAATTACAAGGAAAGACAAAATTCAAGATTAATCATAAATATTTCCTGGAGACCCTCTTGGGTGTTGGGGAAGGTTGGTTCTTTTTGTTTTAAATGATAGAGGTTGAGGTTTTATGTTCAGCTTGAAATGGAAGAAAAATGTTTGTGATATTCTCTACTCTGTTAATGTAAGAAACATTTCATTCTGGGCCTAAGGAGCAGAAACTGAAGGGCTGAAACAATGATCTTCCACCGTTGTGGTCTAACAGGTATTGAATGATCATGGGTCAGCCCATTACCCTTTTTACAGAGACTTCATCTTTTTATTAAAGGTTGAAGAGGCAGCACTGGCTCCCCTGGCTGCTGCCCACGCTCTGTCCCTCTGTGCCTGTGCTGGTGCTGCCCATTTTGATCGTTTTGGAGGGGAAGGAGTTACCTTCATCCTTCTTGGAGGTTGGTTTTTTTTTCCCAAGGTGGCTCCTGGTCCAAGCCATGCTCCTCAGGAGGCTTCTCCTCAAGCGTGAAGAAGGCACATCACTGCCCAGTGCACAGTGACAGGAGGAAATCTGAGTTAAACATATCTAGAAGAGGTTTTTATAATCCTGAACAGGTATTTGGAACAGGTTATATTTACAGGCGGGAGCTGAGAGGGAGGGCTCTGCCTTTCCCTCCTCCTCGTAGTTACTTGGCTGCTGTCAGGAAGCAGCTCAGCGACTTCATCCCCTTCCCCTCCGAGAAATACCAGTTCCCTGGGACGGGGAAGAAGAGATGAAGAGCTGGCCTCTGGCATGTGGTTAGTCCTGGTGGTGCCCCTTTCCCTCCCTCCAAAGTCCTTGGTGTGACCCATAAATCCCCATTACTGTAGGGCTGAGGAGCCACATGCTCTGGAGCCCTCCCCATCCCGAATCCCTTCCCTTCCCATTGCCTCAGGAGCCTCCAGCTTGGGGATGGGGATGGGGATGGGAATGGGGATGGAGATGAGGATGGGGATGAGGATGGCGGTGGGGATGGCCCAGGGGTTGCCTGTGGGGTCTCACCCTACCCACACCTCATCACAGAACCATGTGATCAGAGGTATCATCCCTCTCTCAGGGAAAAAAGCATAAATTGTGTTTCTTTTACAAAACTTCTTGGTTTTACAGAGGCATTCCCTGTGGGGAGAGGTTTTTCTGGTGTTTTATCAGGGACAGAGGTTACAATCTGATAGAGAATACGGATGAGTCCGTAAGCATGGAAACAGTAGAAAATTAATCTGACTCAGATTGGTGTTTTAGAACAATAATTGCTTTTTGGTGAACCTGAGGGTGACCTAAATCGAACATTCCGAAGGAACCAAACACTTCTCACTTCACTTCTGCATGCATTTACTTGATTCAGTTTCGGTTGACAGCCGTAGCTGAAACATGAGGAATCAAGGGCAGTTTGCATGAGGAGGAAAAGAGTTCTTCAATGTAAAACATGGAAAAAACCAAATCAATGAAGTTTTTATAGTGCTGAAGTCATAAGGACGGCCAGAGCCATGGTTACCTTGATGTAAGGTGTTTAAATGACCTGGGGTCCCAGCACAGCCCTCGGGTGGGATGGAAACCCCAGCCCTGGCTGGCTCCCTCCTGGAGATAAGGAGCTTCTCCGGGCTCCCGGCCCCTCTGGTTGGAAATGCAAACAGGAGGTGGTGGCCGGGCACCGTGGATCGGGGCCCAGACTCTGACACCGTGACACCTGACGTACAAAAGGGGGATGGAGGCTGCTCCCAGGCATCACTAACCTCCAGACACCATCGGGCACTGCTGGCAGCAGTGGGGGAAATAAAACAAGGCAGGTAAGTGGCTGGGTTGCCAGCGGCGAGACAGCCCTTCTCTGCACGCGGGGTGTCGGGCTCAATTGGAAGATCCAGCTCTTGTTGTCCAGAGAAATGCAGATCTGGCCTTGAAACGTTTCCCAAGGTCCTGGCACTTCATTTCGTAGCTGTGTCTCATGCTCTGAATATTCCCAAGGCACTCGCTATCGTCGGATGTCGTCTGACTGTCTCTTGGTTACTGTTTGTTTCTGTGGTTGCACGTTGATGAGGTATCTGGTTATGTCTTGCAGCCCTCAGAATCCAAGCCCAACGTCACCCCTCTCACCGTCCTGGCCCATGTTCTCCGCGCCATCAAGTCCTATGCCCACCTCCTCTACGTCCAGCGACTCATCCCCCATCAGGTCTGTTGCAGAACTCGCTTTGCTTCTTGTTGCTTTTGCTATTTTCTGTTTTGATTTACTCGGTTTTCCCCCACTTGGCTTTCCTTTTCCCTTTGCATCCTGCGCAAGCTCCCCCAGTATCTGCACTGAGCAAGAGCGGAGCTTTCAAAGGTCCCCGTCCCAGGGGAGACCCTTTGAACCCGGGTTGAGCCCCCGGGAGGTCACCTCACCCTCGCGGTGCTCGGTGGTTTCTGTGGGTTTTCCCGGCCAGTTCAGCTCCCGTGGTTCACTTTGCTCCTCCTGGAGACAGGTAAGAGGGTGCTGCCTTCCCGGCTGCTGCGGGGGGTAACAAGCCTTTGTAAAACGCTGTGATACTTCATTTTCTGACCAATTCCTTTTCTCATCTGGAAGCTGAGGAGGGTAAAGAACATGGGGCAGCACAGATGTTTGCCTGCTGAGTGCCCGTGTCTCCAGCGCTTGGGCATCACTGGAGTCAATCAGTTACAGCCAGGCAGAAGATGCCTGCTTACTGGACAGAAGATGTCCAGAGGGCCACTGGAGCAGCAGGGCAGGCAGTGCTGGCCACCAGCCTGGCAAGCAGGAGGACATACATCCCCCTGTGCCCCCCAAGACTCCACAGCAGGGACTGGCACCGCCTGGGGGTCCCGTGGCTTTTGGCACTGGTGATGTTGTCATGCCACAAGCCCACCATGGGCAGCGTCTGGGACCTGCGGGTACCAGGGGATGCTCAGGCCAGGGCAGCATTGCCTCTGGGGCATCTGATCCATCTCTGGGGCATCTGATCCATCATCTCTGGCCTGTGGAGAAATCCTCGGGAGGGGTTTCTCTCCCCCAAGCCCACCCTGGTGCTGTGGAGCAGGAGGACGTCGTCATCCCTGGTGGATTGTGTCTCCCAGCCCCTCGGCAGGGACACCCGTCCCTCCTCCGAGGGAGACGTGTCAAACCTGTCTGTTGGTGGCACCGAGCGAGCTGTCCCCACACCTCCAGCCGTGCAAACGCCGCCTGTGCCGCGGCTGCTGGCTCCTCGGGGTCTTTTATTTGTTTTGCTTCGTGTCTGCAAAGGCTGGCAAGGGCGTCATGCCATCCAGGCAGCCTTCCTCCTCTGGGGCAGGGAGGCTCATCACCCCCCAGACGGCATGAGGTGAAGCTCCTGAGTGCTTTGCTGGCCTCGTGCCACGCTCGGAGGCACAAACCCAACCTTTTCCCTGAAACCCCCACAGGGCTCTGATGGGGGCAGTCGCAGCAGGGGCCGCGGGGCTGCAGAAGTCATTTTGGGGGAGAAAAAACAACAGCTTTAACAATTCCAAGGTAGTAAGCCCGAAAATACCTTTTGTTTTTCATCTGAGAGTCTCCCCCATGCGCTGTGTGTGAGCGGTGCCTCCCCGGCAGCCAAGGACCCTCTCTGGAGCAGGAAGAGTGTTTGCCCATCCTGGTTTTTAAGTGTTTGGTGGCTGCTCGTGTCGGCCAGCTGGAATTTGGAGAGGGGAGACCTCCTCTTTGGGGCTGTCTGCACAGGAGAACCCAAACCCTTCCCAGCTCCCCTGGTTTGTGGGTTCTGGGTAGAGGCAAAGCACTGTTGTGTGCTGCTTCCCTGGGCTCGCTCAGGGAGAATGCAGAAGAAGTTCAAGATGCCAGAATGATAAAAGTTGGTGAAAAGGTTGAAGTGGGACATGGTGACACCTTGTTCCTTACCCCAGCAGCTCCTGGGGGCTCTCCCATCACTTTGCTCGGCCATGCTGGGGCAGACTGGTCTCACGGGCCAGCATCTGGGCAGGTTTGCTCCATGGCTCCATGGCAGGACAGGAGGGTGGCTGCAGGTGCCAGGGCAGGCTCTGGGTGCCTGCGTGTTGCTGGGGGGCTCTGGAGCTCCTTCCTTTCCTCCCCGTTTCTGCTGGCGATCTGCTCCATTTCTGGCTCTCTCCGCTCTCCTTCCCTCCCCCGCAGCGTGGGCACGCTGGCACTTCCCCACTAACATCTAATGGTTCTTAAATCTTTTTTATCTTCAGGTACAGCCTCTACAGAAGCGCAGGAAATTCTTCATGGACCTGCTTGTTTTTCTGTGTTGAAATGCCCTTCCCCAAGCACTAATTCTTCCTCGCAGAGCTCTCCTCGTGTTGGCAGCCGCGCTGGGAGGGCGCTGGGCTGGGCAGGAGCGGGGCTGGTGGGCAGTGGGTCACTACTGGATCCTGCTGCCCCCAGTTACGGCCCCTCAGAGACCCACAAAACACTTCCAGCTCCTGATGTCCTTCTCCCGTCCAGCACCTGGAGCTCACCTGGGGACCCCTGGCTCGGAGCTGGGTGGGCACCGGTCCTGGGCTCTGGTCCTGGTGGTGCCCACTGGGCTCAGACTGGGATCTGCAGACTGGGGGCTCATCCCTGAGAGCCTTCAGCCTCCTCTGGTGTCTTCCTCGCTCTTCCCCTGAGCAGCATGACCTCAGACCCTTGCAGAGCAGCAGAGGTCCTTGGACCCCTCTTCGACCTGCACCTCTTACATGGCCCCCCCCGCGATGCAGTGCTGCTGTGTGTGAGTGGAGGATTTTTTATAGCAATAAATTCTTTCTCTTTTTTACAGCTCACCGCTGCGGAAGGCCCGGGCTTTGTACGCCTGCAAAGCAGAGCACGACTCCGAGCTCTCCTTCACGGCGGGGACCGTCTTCGATAACGGTGAGTCCTGGGGGGCAGCAATGGGGGGGCAGGAGCCTCCCCCGTCACCTCAGAACAGACACTCTCCTGTCCCAGCATCTCTCGTGTGTGTGACGTAGGTGGGAGATGCTGCAGAGCCCGTGTTAGCAGCAGCAGGAGTGAGGCTGCAGAGAAGGACACTTGGCTCTTACTCATTTTAGGGCTGAGTTTTGCAAATTACTGGTTTTCTCCCCGTGACCCAGGGAATGATTTGGACTCTCAGTTCGTGGGTTTCCTTTCAGTCCCTTGTTTAAGGACAATCCCGATTCCACCACTAGAAATCCCATGAAAAAAGAAAGCAGAAATACATGAAACCCAGGCCCTAAATCTGAGGTGTATCTTGCCCTACTTTCTGTTCCCAGGCTGAAGAGAGCTGAGCATCAGCTGTCTTTGGGATCGGTGTGAAAACTGCCTTTTCACGATCCCAATTTATTTCCTAAGGGGAATAAATCCCAAGGGAGACGTGTAAGGTAGGAGGGATGAGTAGGTGGGACCTCCTTATACTCCCCCTGAGATGTCCACTTTGCCACCCCCAGCCTGGCTCAGCGGGTGCCACTCCAGGTCCCTGTCACTGCCCTGCCCGTCCCCGTGGTGTCCCATGGGTTTCCTTTCAGTCCCCTGTTTAAGGACTATCCCGATTCCACCACTAGAAATCCCCTGAAAAAAGAAAGCAGAAATACATGAAACCCAGGCCCTAAATCTGAGGTGTATCTTGCCCTACTTTCTGTTCCCAGGCTGAAGAGAGCTGAGCATCAGCTGTCTTTGGGATCGGTGTGAAAACTGCCTTTTCACGATCCCAATTTATTTCCTAAGGGGAATAAATCCCAAGGGAGACGTGTAAGGTAGGAGGGATGAGTAGGTGGGACCTCCTTATACTCCCCCTGAGATGTCCACTTTGCCACCCCCAGCCTGGCTCAGCGGGTGCCACTCCAGGTCCCTGTCACTGCCCTGCCCGTCCCCGTGGTGTCAGAGCCACTGACCCGGGGTGAGGGGTGTTGTGTCCCCAACAGTGGACGTGGCCGAGCATCCCCAGGGCACGAGGTGATGGCACACGTGGGTGATGGGCTCCCAGTGACCGTGTCCGTCAGGACCAGAGCTGGGTTTGGGCAGGTTGTTGAGGGGAAGGTGCAGCCTTGCGGGGAGGAGCGAGCAGAGGTTCTGCAGGCTTGGGAGTGCAAAGTGCAGCAGGAAATAAAAGACACAGAAAAGAAAGTTTGTCGAGGCAGGGTGTCACCTCTGGGCCGTGCTGTGTCAGCGCTGGCCGTGGAGCAGGGACGGGGGCCAGCGCTGACCCCGCTGCCTGCACTGTTTGCCTTTTGGCAGCTCCCCCGCTCTCCACCCGCTCCCCGGAGCTATTTGAGACCTTGCAGTGCCCGTCCCAGGGCTATGCCACCGCCACACGGCTGTGCCGGGCTGCCCCACGTCCCTCCCGGGGACACGGACCCTCGCTGAACGGGAGGGAGGTGGAAGGGAGAGGCTGGCGAGTGGCTGCCCCCCGCAGCGTTACCATATACAGCCCAGGCCTCGCTGCCCTTCTGGGGAGGAGAGATTAGCTTCCCAGTATCAGCACCAGAAATATGCCGTGCCGTTGCCGTGATGTTTCGCGCAGGAGATGGAAAAGTAGCATGTGCTTGTTGTTTTTTCCCCCCTCTGGATGCTGAGAGCTGGGAGAGGTGGGCTCTGGTTAGTCAGATTTTTGGAGATGATGTTAATGAACCTGGATTTTTCTGCTTCCTGCATCAAGGGAAAGAGACTGTGCCCCGTGGAATTAAGCAGCTGTGGTTTAGGTATAATCCCAATGTAAAGAGAAGACTTTTTACTACTTTCCAAGTAGTTCTTGGCTTTTATATGTTAAGCATTGTCATTTGGGAAACTGCTACCACATGCACTGGTTTTGCCCTGGGACATGTGAGAATATGGCAGAAAGGGGAAGAGAATGAATACATGCGAATTAAAGAAAATACTTTTCCTAAGCAGCTCCATAGATATCTTATAAATAAACATGGTCTCCCCTTTGAGAGCCCGTGGGAATTAGAGCAGCCAGGAGGGGAACAAGTTTGAATTAAATACATTGTGTTTGCTAGATAAAAATCAATGGATTATTCAAGGGGAAAAAAATATACAGCATGTTCCAATCACTTAGCAGCATAGCCGGGGCTCACGTTGGCTGAGGGAATGGGTTAGGAACAGCACTGCTTGGTGGAAATATTGTTGTGATGAAGGGGTTTAATAAAACCCAGCAAAAGCAAATGGATCTTGGCAATAGTTAGAGACAGGTTCTTGTTTGGCTTCGAGGCTCTCTGAGGCTGCACGTGGAAAAGCGGCGTCTGGGTCCGGCGGGGAGCGGGGATGCTGTGGGGATGCTGTGCCCCACACCGAGTGGCACCCACGGAGTAAATAACTCCATGTTTTGAGAGCTCCAGTTAAACTCCAGAGCATTAGTTACGTGAAACCTGGATTTTCCAGCAGATCTTGTGCACCTGACAGTCGTGTGCCCCTGATGTGGCGCTGGATGGGAGGGACGTCCTGGGTCTGTGGGGGCCTGGAGTCGGGGAGGGTGAGAGTCACAGGTCAGAGAAGGGATGTTCATGAGGGTTTTTAAGGAGCAATCACCCCTGAATTGGAAAACTCCAAGTTCTGAAGCAAGGGCCCCCCACCTGAGCTGCTGTTGCCACACACTGAGATTTTACATCAGGAAGGTTGGGTTGCATTTGTGCTCTAATTCTGCAATAATGAGGTTCTCCTCCCTGTCTGCTCGTGTGCCCTGCTCTGGCTGGCACTTCCTGCGCAGAAATCAATGCCTCTCTTTGGGATAGAAGTGATTTTTTAAGGCAAAAGCAGTAGCTCAGCTCACGTGACTTTTGGTTAAAGCACTTTCCCAGCCCATTTGCTGAGACCGGGGGGATGAAGGCTCAGGGCCATCTCTGGGCTGCACTCGAGAAGCACCGCCACATTTGTGCTGAAAAATGTGAATTTTTCAACACATTTCACCCCCCGGCAGCTGAGGGAGGGTAGGCAGGGGCAGGTGGGTGCTGTGGGGGGGGCAGGCACCGTGCCGGTGGGGCAGGGAGCGGGCAAAGGGGGGACAGCAGGGGCTCCCTTGGCTGTCGCAGTGATGGCAGACACCGTGTAGGCGAGCAGAACCCGCAGAGAGTCACAGAAATAGCTCTGAAATTCCAAGCTGGCACTGTTCATCCCGGGGGATGCGGGGAATGTTCCTCTGCCCGCGTTGGCACAACCCTGGCTCCTGTAAAATCAGCAAATTTTCAGTAGCTGATTGAATAAAGAAGGAGCGTAAGTCTTCTGCGGACTGATCAGATTTCTCGTTTCACAGAAATAAAATCAGGGTGTTTGCCTCCCTCCCGGCAGCGGCTGCTAAAGCCGCCTCTCCTGGGACGTGCAGGGTGACGAGGTGATGGAGGTGCCCACCTCCTCCCCGGCTTCGGAGAGATTTTAGCACAAATGTGGAGGAAGTTTTGAGCCTTTTTTTTTTTTTTTTTTTTTT